GCCACCATGCCCAGCTAATTTTTTTTTTGTAGTTTTAGTAGAGACGGGGTTTCACCATGTTGACCAGGATGGTCTCGATCTCTTGACCTCGTGATCCACCCGCCTCGGCCTCCCAAAGTGCTGGGATTACAGGCTTGAGCCACCGCGCCCGGCCTACATCAAATTCTTAAGTGACAAGCTGCTTACTCCTAAATTTAGAAATTTACAATCCCAGTTTGTTTTTTAACTTGTACGTTGTAGTTTTTTGAAACAGAGTTTCACTCTTACTGCCCAAGCTGCAGTGCAGTGGCGCAGTCTTGGCTCCCTACAATCTCCACCTGCTGGCTTCAAGTGATTCTCCTGCCTCAGGTTCCTGGGTAGCTGGGATTACAGGTACCCATCACCACGCCCGGCTAGTTTTTTTTTATTTTTAGAAATGGGATTTCACCATGTTAGCGAGGCTGGTCTCAAACTCCTGACCTCAGGTGATCTGCCCACCTCAGCCTCCCAAAGTGTTTGAAGTACAGGCATGAGCCACCTCACTCAGCCTGTACTTCCTAATTCTAACCGTACATAAAATATTGTGTGATCATAAGATCACATTGCTAATCTACTTCTGATTTTAAGGAAGAACTTGACCTTCTAATACACGTTATCAAATTACAGTTGGTTCTCCCTTGTTTATAGCTGTGTTCTATTAATATAAGGCTGCCACAAGTATGAAGCCATTTCACGTAGGGGAAATACAGGATTGGGTTCCTACAAACCTTGATCACATTTTCATCAACTGAAAAATACGTGGCCTTGTTACATGTGTGTTTCTGTTACACATGCCTTAATGTTTGTTAAATTCACGTTGAACTCGCTACCAATAGTGCACTGTAATTGGTGCCTGAACAAAGCTCTCCAATACATGTTCTTTGGCACATCACAGCCTTGGATTTAGCAACATTAGATAGCACTTGGACAAGATGCTTGGGGGCCATTTTAAACAGCAAAATCATCAGTAAAAAGCACAAAGATGTAAAATAGTGGCACTAAGAAGACCAGAAAAAAAGACAGTTGGTTAGGGCATTAAAGCTGAAAACAAGACAGTGACCTCAGCCTGGAATGTACGTGTGGTGCGACTCACATTTTTTGCTTCTCTGACATGCACATTACCGTGAAGTGCTAGAAGTATTGATTTGGGGTTGGGAGGGTGGTTACAAAAGTTGTTTTAAACAAGAGTAGGTGACTTTACAAATAACAAAAGATTATTGACTTTTTAAAACATCTGGCCGGGTGCGGTGGCTCAAGCCTGTAATCCCGGCACTTTGGGAGGCCGAGGCAGGTGGATCACGAGGTCAAGAGATCGAGACCATCCTGGTCAACATGGTGAAACCCCGTCTCTACTAAAAATACAAAAAAATTAGCTGGGCATGGTGGCACGTGCCTGTAATCCCAGCTATGTAGGAGGCAGAGGTTGCAATGAGCTGAGATTGCGCCATTGCACTCCAGCCTGGGTAATGAGCGAAACTCCATCTCAAAAAAACATCTGATAGTTGCATATAAATAAAATGACAACGTATTCCTAAAGATCTGAATTTCCTTTGTTTTGCAGAGTCCAGCCTCTGATGAAGCAGGAGAGAAAGAAGCCAAGTCTGATTAATACCATATACCATGTCTTATCAGTGGTCCCTGTCTCCCTTCTTGTACAATCCAGAGGAATATTTTTATCAACTATTTTGTAAATGCAAGTTTTTTAGTAGCTCTAGAAACATTTTTAAGAAGGAGGGAATCCCACCTCATCCCATTTTTTAAGTGTAAATGCTTTTTTTTAAGAGGTGAAATCATTTTCTGGTTGTTTATTTTTTGGTACAACCAGAAAATAGTGTGGGATATTGAATTATGGGAGGCTTTGACTGTCTTGGGTGTCAGCTTAACATTCCATAGATGGGGGGTTAGTTTTTATATCCTATAATACAAAGCATATTAAATGGCAATATGGAGTCAGTCTTGCATTTAATGTCTTGAACATTTTAAATTACTTCTATTCCCATGTTTTTTAGTAGAATTGTTTCCTAAAGAAAACCACTCTGATCGTGGCTCTCCCTGTCAGAATTGTGTGCACTCTGTAACATCTTTGGTGTGATAGTCCTGTTTTCCTAATAACTTTGTTACTGTGCTGTGAACGATTAAAAATTGGAATATGTAGTGTACATGCTATTCAGTTGTGAATTGTTGGGACATATGTAACAGCTTATCAACATGTGAAGATACAGGTACTTGATAGCCTCTTACGGAAAATTTGCGTCTAAATTTTAAGCTGGAAAGTCACTGGAATAACTTTAAAAAGGAATTATACATGGCTTTTTAGATTTTTGTTACGTATGTTAAGAATTGTGTACAAATTGAAATGTCTGTACTGGTCTTCAACCAATAAAATCTCAATTATGAAACAATATTTTAAAGCATGTGGATTAAGTTCTGGTTTAAATTTTATTTACAGAATTTTCACATTTGAGCCTGGCCGACATGGTGAAACCCTTTCTCTACTAAAAATAAAAGAATTCACCGGGCATGGTGGCTTGCACCTGTAGTCCCAGCTACTCGGGAGGCTGAGGCAGGAGAATCACTTGAACCTGGGAGGTGGAGGTTGTAGCGTGCCCAGATGACACCACTGCAAGCAGTGAGACCCTGTCTCAAAAAAAAAGTTCCACATTTGGTCTTCCAAAATTCTTTTTTTTTTTTTTGAGACGGAGTTTCGCTCTTGTTACCCAGGCTGGAGTGCAATGGCGCGATCTCGGCTCACCGCAACCTCCGCCTCCTGGGTTCAGGCAATTCTCCTGCCTCAGCCTCCTGAGTAGCTGGGATTACAGGCACGCGCCACCATGCCCAGCTGATTTTTTGTAGCTTTAGTAGAGACGGGGTTTCACCATGTTGACCAGGATGGTCTCGATCTCTTGACCTCGTGATCCACCCGCCTCGGCCTCCCAAAGTGCTGGGATTACAGGTTTGAGCCACCGCGCCCGGCCCCAAAATTCTTTAAAGAGTAAAATGTTTAGTTTTTGTTTGATACAGTCATGAATCCCTGGATACTGTCTTAAGAAACATTGTTTTAGGGCCGGGCGCGGTGGCTCAAGCCTGTAATCCCAGCACTTTGGGAGGCCGAGGCGGGTGGATCACGAGGTCAAGAGATCGAGACCATCCTGGTCAACATGGTGAAACCCCGTCTCTACTAAAGCTACAAAAAATCAGCTGGGCATGGTGGCGCGTGCCTGTAATCCCAGCTACTCAGGAGGCTGAGGCAGGAGAATTGCCTGAACCCAGGAGGCGGAGGTTGCAGTGAGCTGAGATCGCACCATTGCACTCCAGCCTGGGTAACGAGCAAAACTCTGTCTCAAAAAAAAAAAAAAGAAACATTGTTTTATTGTGTGAACAACAGTGTGTCTTAACACAAACTTCAGTGGCATGGCCTATTACATACTTAGGCTGTATGGTTGAACCTATTGCTCCTAGGCAACAGACTTACACAGCATGTTACCGTGTAAATACTATAGGGAGTTGTAATACAATGGTAAGTATTTGTCTATGTAAACTTAGATCTGAGTATAGTAAAAGTACAGTGTTATGGGACCATTATGTGGTTCATTGTCTGATACGTGGGACATAACTACTTGAGATAACTGCTATGTCCTTTGAAGTGCTTGACTATATTGGTTTAATGGGAGAACAATGCAGTGTCTTTTGAATTAAAGCAAATACATAATTACTAGCTCTTCGTATGTTAAAGAAAAGCACAGAGTAGGCCAGGCATGGTGGCCCACACCTGTAATCCCAGCACTTTGGGAGGCCAAAGCAGGTAGATCACCTGAGGTCAGGAATTGGAAACTAGCCCGGCCAACATGGTGAAACCGGGTCTTTACTATGAACATAAAAATAAGGTGGGCTTGGTAGCTGGCACCTGTAATCCCAGCTGCTCAGGAGGCTGAGGCAGGAGAATTACTTGAACCTAGGAGGTGGAGGTTGCAGCAAGCCAAGGTCACACCGTTGCACTCCAGCCTGGGTGACAAGAGTGAAACTCAAAAAAAAATACAGAGTAAGCTATGACTAAATCTAGTGTGGTATGTATTTTCCTGATTTGCTTTCACATACATTGTATTCTCATTTTGCCCTTTAAGTAGTCTTTAGAGGTGATGTAGGGCAACTGTTGATTTGGCAAAAGTGAAAATGGCCAGAGATGGACCTTGCTGAGGTTATCACTAAAGGGTCCTTGGAACAATTCAAACCTCTGTACATTTGGTGTGTTTTGCCTGTGGGGTGATTAGTAGGCAAGAATCCTTTAAAAACAAGCCCTATGGGGTCATAGATCTCTGCACAGACTGCCTGAGCAGAGTTGATAGGGAATAGTGAGGATATAGTAAAAGCAAATGCAACGACAGTGACATGGGATAACCTGACAGCAAAGAAGTTCTGATAACCCGTGGGGGGTGGGAAGGGACTAGGGCCAGCTGAGTGCCGTGGTCATTACACTATGGAGGCCTGAAACAGTGATGAACAGATTTGCCTTTAATTTCCAAGTATAGGAGAATAGGTAAGTTTTTGATAAGAATTTTATCCATAGAACCCATCTGCCAGTGTTTAGTTAATTAAACTCCCCAACCTTCCCACCCCTTAGAGTGGTGATAGATGTTTTGAAATCACAGATTTTCTCAATCGTTCTATACTAATTGTAATGACATGTTTAAAGAAATCACTAGTTTTTCTTACAAAATAAAACAGGGAAAGGGTTTTGGTTTATAGATTGATACCAAAAAAAAAATTGTAGAAAGCATAACAGAAGTACTTTAAGTTCCTACCTGGAACTACTCTGTTAGGCTTTTCTACAGCTTTTTTGGGGGAAAGGCTTGCCTTGTTTTATCTGACCAGTTACTCGGGTGTTTGCTAGCCCTAAGGCTGCCCATTTTCCTTATTTTTTTTTTATCCTACCCACAGGAAGGAACACATTTTTGTGATAAACTGACTTCAACTGTCAAAGGAAAAAGTTTTTTAGCCGGGCGCGATGGCTCACGCCTGTAATCCCAGCACTTTGGGAGGCCGAGGCGGGTGGATCATGAAGTCAAGAGATCGAGACCATCCTGGTCAACATGGTGAAACCCCGTCTCTACTAAAAATACAAAAAATTAGCTGGGCATGGTGGTGCGTGCCTGTAATCCCAGCGACTCAGGAGGCTGGGGCAGGAGAATTGCCTGAACCCGGGAGGCGGAGGTTGCGGTGAGCAGAGATCGCGCCATTGCACTCCAGCCTGGGTAACAGGAGCAAACCCCCTCCCAAAAAAAAAAAAAAAAAAAAAAGTTTTTTAAAGCCACCATGGGGACTGGATGTGGCAGTCACACCAGTGCTTTGGGAGGCCAAGGGAGGAGGATTGCTTGAGTCTGAGTTCCAAATCAGCCTGGCCAGCAGCGAGACCCCACCTTTACAGAAATTTTTAAAAATTAGCTGAGCATTGTGATGCATGTCTGTGGTCCCAGCTACTCAGGAGGCTGAGGCAGGAGGATCACAAGCCCAAGATTTCGAGGCTGCAGTGAGCTAAGATTGCGTCATTGCACTCTAGCCTGGGGGACAAAGATCTTGTCTCAAAAGCCACTTTGAGGTATGTTTTCTGGGATCAGTACAGAAAGTTAATCTCATGCCCTTCAAACAGTTGACAGTACTTTTGAGTGATGAGAGTGGTTGACTGGATGTACCAATATCAGGCATTTAAAAGTATAAGGAGTGATCACTTCGGCAGCGCATATGCTAAAATTGGAACGATACAGAGATTAGCGTGGCCCCTGCGCAAATTGTTTTTTTAAATAAAAATTTAATAATAAAAAAAAGTATAAGGAAGAGAACTTATCAGATAGCAATTGGTTGATTAGAAAAACTAGTGAACAAGAACCCTGCATTCTCTTGGCTTCTCAGAGATTGAGCTTGTTGTGCGTCAGATGTGGGTTAATCAGGATTTAAGGCACAGATCTTGGTACTTAGCTTGGATTCATTGTAATCATGGAGGCCCCAGGGGGAGGTTCTGTTCTGTTGTAGCAGTTTGGGAAATGTGTGTAAAAGTCTTGTGGGGGTAGGGATGAGAGGTCAGGAGGATGGACAGATGCAGGGGTGAGAAATATGTGTGTGATCATAGCGGAGCAATTAATACTTATTAAAAAAACCTTAGGAACTGCAGACAAGCTAACAACACCCATAATTCGCTTACTTAGACAACTATTTAAGTAGCTATTTAAAGATGCATTTTTCTCAGATCCTATCCTATGCTTATATGATTATACAAAGTGGTGGTGTACATCCTATTTTGTAGTCTTGAGCATACTGTGACCTTTCTCCTATGTCAATGAGTTTACCTACACAGCATTTGTAAGCACTGTGTAGTTTATTTCAAGAATATATAATTTGTCAGACATTTAGACTTTTTTGCATTAAAACAAGCATTGGCAAACTAAAAACTAATCTCTACTAACCCACACAGATAGACCTAAAGATGTATCTGCTTATCACAATCCCCATTTGCTCTATGAGTTTGCAATAGAAATACTTGGTTAAAACACCAAGTAATTTTGAGAATTAGAATTGAGAATTTCTAAGCAATTAGGCTTAAGTAGATCATGGGAAGTAGCTCATCAATTGGTAACAATTGCTTTTATTTCAAGATTATGAAAGTTAGATTACATCTTTTGAAACTTCCAAAAATATAAAGTAAGAAACCATTTAGGGTCCCTGCGTGGTGGCTCACCACTGTAATCCTAGCATTTTGGGAGGCCAAGGCGGGCAGATCACTTGAGCTTGAGGTCAGGAATTTCACAAGGTGAAACCCCATCTCTACTAAAATAGAAAAATCAGCCGGGCGCGGTGGCTCAAGCCTGTAATCCCAGCACTTTGGGAGGCCGAGGCGGGTGGATCACGAGGTCAAGAGATGGAGACCATCCTGGTCAACATGGTGAAACCCCGTCTCTACTAAAAATACAAAAAATTAGCTGGGCATGGTGGTGCGTGCCTGTAATCCCAGCTACTCAGGAGGCTGGGGCAGGAGAATTGCCTGCACCCAGGAGGCGGAGGTTGCGGTGAGCCGAGATAGCGCCATTGCACTCCAGCCTGGGTAACATGAGTGAAACTCCGTCTCAAAAAAAAAAAAAAAAAAAAGAAAAATCAGCTGATGGTGAGTGCTTGTAATCCCAGTTCCTCGGGAGGCTGAGGCAGGAGAATCACTTGAACCAGTGAGCTGAGATCTACCACTGCACTCCAGCCTGAGTGACAGAGCAAGACTCTGCCTCAAAAAACAAACAAAACCATTTAA